CTCTGTGGTGGAAAATCTGTCTCTGTGCTACCTGCTCCCTTCCCTGTATACCATATGCCACACACAAAGGCTGTCCCGGCCACTGGTAGCATGCGTGCCACAGGCTGTCCAGCCCATCCTATAACATTCAGTTTAGAGAAATGGCTACCCACCTAATATCTTCTCTATTATAAATATCCAGTAACTTATACCCTTATATTTAAAGTTTAAAATAACGTTACCCTCCTCTCCCCCAACTAAAGACATTTTCTGCTAATGATTTCACAACCAGATATTTAAAAAAAAAAATTTTTTTAAATCAGACATTAGCCAAATTTTTCAAAATTACTTAGCAAGTGTTGATGGCCAGGCCTCCTTGCAATATCAGAAACTTGGCACCCCTTACTCTTCATTTTTGCAAAGTCTTGACCACTACACAAGGGGCGATGCTTACTATAGCAGGAAGCAGTTTTTCTTCAAGTAATGCAATGTATGCCAGTGTGTCAGCTCCTTGTTTTGCAGATAGTTCATAATCAGCATTGTACTTCTGTCAATTAAAACAAACATGAGAATACAGACCACATAAATCCAGGATCACGTGCAACTTTTCGAATAGAAAATATTCACTATAATTCAGAACTGCTGCAAAGTTAAACAGGTAAAATAAGCAGGTATTTTAACAAAATAATTTTAAACCCTGAAGTGGAAGAACAGAAAAATGTAAACCATCTTCTTTCAACTCTCCATCCTGACATATCCCCACTACAACTCTTTTACCCAGTACACATTTTAGGCATCTCTCCAAGAAACAGATAGTGTCCCTGAGCCCAAGATACTTTCTAATCAGCATCCGAATGACAAATGCAATATATTTTACTTAGGTCCTACTAGCTATTACACATCTCCTGCCAGGTACATGCCTTTGCTTCCTGTAATGTCATACACACAGGTTGTTTTAAAAATTGTTTTCAAAGTTAACATTTTAGAAGTGTAAAAGTTATGCATGCACTTAAATTCTAAGCTCCGTGATGCCAAAAATCCAATTCCATTTAAGTGAATTGGCATTTAGATTTACAACCAAGGGAAAAAAAAGAAGAAATGCATGTGTGGGGATACTATAGTATACCACTCCTGGTTTCTCCAGCAAACATAGGAATCTTCTCAAAAAACATAAGGCTGAGCTATATGGATGATTTATGAATATGGATGATTTACATAGAAATTTGCTGCTTTTACAAAAGTAACTTGCAAGCAAGTTACAATTGCAATTTTTTATTCTTTAAAATTCTTGAGAGGTGGGATGTGCAATTTTTGTATTCTTTAGTGCATATAGACTTTAAACATATTGGAAATACTAGCTCTGATCTGCCCCAATTTTGGTGGAAAGTCACCTTAATATTTCAGAGCATAAGGGCTAATAATATCTCGCATAAGGATAGATAAAAGGACACGGTGTTATTCTCCAACAGGGTTCTTTGCTATTGAAACTAAATATATGTTTAAAATGTTGGGTTGTGTTTAGCACAGTGCTTAAAAATCCTTTACCATGCTCAATGGTAGCTCAGGAAGACTAGAGAGGTATATCACCATAGTATGAATTACAAAAAATGGTCACAGGTACATACATGTTTAACAACAGAACAAAAAAAACTCTATAATATTTTCTAAAGCTTTGGCAGTTTCAAAGTAAAATCCTTTTTATTGGAATAATCTAGTTATTAAAAGCTATATAAATGCGATTAATAAAAACAGTAGCATTAGGAAAATGCTAGTCATTGAAATGCTTAATAGACAATTAAAACTAATTTGGTTGGCTTCCTCTATGAAGCTTTTTGTTAGTTTTATTTTTAAACCTTAAATAGGACTAACCTGAAACCCAAGTCCATTCTGCAACCACCATCCACATCCGAGTCACTTCTGAGCAGTTATTAAGAACTACTGCATGCACATAAGGATTTCAGAATTAAAGTTCCATGTTTTCAAAAAAACACATATAGGAATATTGACAGCTAAGTTTAGGGACACCTGTAAATGCATTACAACATAGAGGGAAAATATCTCAGTTGAATTGAATTAAGCACAATGCATCTTTTTAGTATGTTAGAGACCTACCTGTTTTCTCAAGTAGTTTAATATTTTTGCAGGCTGAGCAATAACAGCATCTTCCGATATCAACACTGGTACATCTCCTAAAAGTGCGATTTACACAGTCAACAGAATTCTCACACAAGAATTTTAATCTAATTGGAAATGGATTCTTTACAGGCCCAATCCTGCCAACTTTTATGCGAGTGCTCAACATTCAGGTAAGAACTATTAAAATGGTGTGCATGCATGTGTGCTTACAGCAAAAGAAGCCCATCATGATTAGACTGAAATTAGTGGTATCTGCTGGTTGTTTGGCACTTTTGAAAAAATATCAGGCTGCTATCTGCATGCTTAATGCTAGATACCTATTTGAAAAACCTCAGCTTCTAGACCACCAACTTGTGCAACTTTGCTAACCTGATCTACCTCTTTCCTGCCATGTTCTGCCTTAAAGTAAAGCCAAAATCTCACTTCACTGAGGCTCCACAAAAAGATGCAAGGGTCTGACTATATAGATCAAAGTGCAAGATCAAGGTCAAGGTCAAAGACTAAACTATGAAAAGAACCATCCTATACTGTAAAGGTATATAGTACCTAGCACTATGAGGCCTAGCCTTAGTTGGCTGCTCAGTACTACTGCAATACAAATTAACAGCAACCCTGATCATTAAGTAGTACCAGCTGATTTTTTTTTCAGTGTTTAAAAGAAGCTATAGAACTTACAGTAAACAGACCAAGATAGTTCCTGATGTACACGGTTAAGCCAGAAATACACCAGGGATGAATTTGGCCCTAGGAATTTGAGGGAGCCTAGTTTTACAGAGATATAAGGAATGCATAAACTGATGGTATGGTAGCTGCAAGTGGTGAAGTTGTTTAACATGCAGTGATTCCATTTCAGAGAATGTGCAGAGAGAATAACTTACTGACTGACAAAGCAGAAAAGTATTTAATAGGAGGGTTCAAAATAAGAAACTTCTCCCTGAACATGTTTACATATGCATTAATGTGCTTTAGTTAATATGCATTAATTCTAGTATCGCCACTGTGAGGTACTAGGAAAATTCACATCAGCCTGGCTTAATATACATTAACTAAAGTGCATGCTTTCTAAGTGATGCTTAATGCACATTAAATAAAAGCACTTTTTAGGCAATGCTTAAACGTGCATTAAAATAGGCTAATGCGCATTAAAGTGCACTTGTAGATGTGCCCCCCGTGATCTTATCTCAAACTTGCCTGTTCATTGCATTTTCTGGCATATCCCTTTTCTCATCTATCCTCACGTAAATTCATCACGGTTTTGCCCATTCACACTAATACAACTTATAGCCCTTGATACTTTCACACAGAATTCTAAGCTCCAACCATAACTGTGTTCAATTTAAAGGAACAGTATTGATCTCATGTCTGCTTGAGAGTTCTCTAACTAGCATTTTTACCAAATGCCTCTAATCTTTTTGTGCCAGCGACTTTTAGACACCTTATTGCTGCTTGCCTGCAAGAACCATGTGCAAGCTAACTGAGCTGTAAAACAAAGCACAGTCAGTTTCAGTGTGCTGATGACCATCAGTTCTGTCATCCTTCCCCAGCGATTCTTCAGGACATTTTGTTCATGTCATCTGGACAGCAAGTTACTTTCAAGACTCTCGGTTTCAAACTGGAAACTCATGTACATGCAAGCCTAACACAGGATTTAGATAAGGGATTGAATGGGATGGTTTGGACAGGGCTGACGCTGCCACAGGCAGGAGGCTGGACTAGATGTGGGGCTGGAGGGGACTTTGAGAGGTCACTTCTCTACCCTTCTAACTTTGCAAGCGTGCAACATCCCACTGATATTTACTGAATTGCTGACAGTTGAACCCCCGTACAAAGGTGTGCTCAAAGAACCACCGTCCAGCAAAGTAACCAGGGGTGGGGATTCGTTGAGGAGCGGCTACTCCCTGGGGTCTGTGCACCTGTTGGGCACAACGGTAAGCGAGAGCTAGGCTGGGGCAGGCCATCCGTGAACAAGACAGGACTAAACTGCCCCAGTTTATCTTACCGGGGGGGGGGGTTAGAGCAGGCAGATGGGCAGTTACCAGGCCCAGTTTCTCCAACTCCCTGCCCTCTGCTACCTCGCTGCACTGTGCCCGCGTGTCCGTGGCCTAAGGGCGGGCGGCGCGTGCGGAAAGACCCCGTCCCCCGCGGCGGTACCTTGCGGCGCGCTCCAGGAGTGGTCCACCGCGCTCATCCTCAGCGGCGCCCCCGAGAACCTGGCGTAGGCCTGCAAGGGAACCAGCCGCGGGGTCACCTCCCCTTCATTCCCCACCCCCCTGCCCTCCCCTCCGCGCGTGGACCCGGGGGGCTGAGCCCCCGCCCCGCCGTCACCATGACGATCAAGGACTCGGTGTGCACGGACGGCAGCCCCCAGCCTCCTCCCCAGCAGCTCAGCTCCATGGGCGCCGCCATTGCGCTGCCGCCACCTTCGCCCCCGGAAGTACTCGCTGCGGCGCCACGCCCCTTCCGGCCTCCCTGGCTGTGGCGGCCACGTGTAGCCCTGCCGCCTCGCTGTACTCGGGTATCTTTCGTGCTGTCGGGTTGCAGCTCCTTGTCTGCCTGCCTGCCTGCCTGCCTCTCCCGGCCTGCCTCTCCCGGCCTCCGCCGCCGGCTGGGGAAGGGTGCGCAGCGTGAGCGCCCGCGGGTGTTGGTGCTGGTGCTGGTGCTCCCGGCTGGATGCCTGCTTCGCCCAGGGGCAGGGGCAGCGGGATCTCTGCTTAGGCAGCGCTGTGGGAGTGGGCTGGCTGCTGGCTCGCCAGCACCGCTCTCGCGCCCTCCATAGCACTATGGGTCCCTCTCCTTGGGGGTGGACTTGCTGTCCTGTTCATCCACCTGTCCTTTCTTCTGCCGTTTTGCTCCTCAGGTTCCTCCTCCTCTCTCTCTAGCGTGCTCTTGCACAGGCGTTGTGGCTGTAGCTAAAACGGGCCAGTCAGGTGGGGTGACAGTGACTGGGGGGACTGCTGACGGGTGTGAAAGTGACTGAGAGTGAAGTGCCGGATGCACTGTCGAGATGCTGAGGGAGACTAGATGTCATTCTTTGAATCTGAATACCTAATGTATGTTTAACTATAATGATTGTAGGGTTAATTAAACTGTCTTGGGGCAATTCTTGCCTAGTTTGTTGTGTTTTTTAAACTTAATATATAAACTAGCAAATTTGTGTATGTGCTGATACAGTTGTATTTGACTTTACTTTGATCTTTACACAGACTAAAATAGCACGGGCCCCCTCGCATGCCAGCAAATCTTCTAGCTTTGTTTTGTTTTACAGGATGATGCACTACACCATCAGCGCTCCCCTTTTTAAAATCCTAGATCCACCTGTAATCCCCACCCCCCCCTCTCCCAGTACCCCATCCTGAAGAGCCAACATATCCATTATTGTTAAAGAAGTGACTTGGAACAAAGATGTGTTTAATTCATTGCAGGGCAGAAGACAAAATGGGTTGTAGAACAGGCTTTTGCCAGGATGCAGAGATATTTTGTGTGTCTACCTTGTACTGTGGCCTCTTTCACTCAATCTCTTTACCTTTAAGTCTGTCACCCAGTATATTGTGTATTGTTCTTTGTGTAGAAGTTCAGTGAAGGAATTATTTGAAGTTCAGTGCACAGAAATCATATAAGTGATCATAAGAAGTTCATAAAAGTTCTCCTGGGTAGAAATGAAAGTTCATAAATATGAACTTTTATTTCTGTCCAAGAGAACTTTTACAATCTTTTCTCTGATGCCTGATGAAGGGTGTTTGTGCCCGAAAGCTCGCCTTTAAAGACATTTTTTTGCAAAAATCTTGTTGGTCTAATAAAAGATAGTACCTCTGTCCACAAGCCCTGATTGCTTTTTACTCTAGACCAATACGGCTACAACCTGGATATCTGTAAGAAGTTCTGCACATCTTTCCTCAGATAAAGTACATGATTTGAAAATAAAGGCTCTATCACATTTAGAACCTTGGTAGGTAATTGTTTCATTTATTTGCATGTAAATGAAACGAAAGAATGATTTAAAGTACTACACACTATATCAGTAATCCATTTATGTTTTAAGACAATACTGTATTTTTTGCTAATGAAGGACATTTGCTATAACATCTATTTAAAACAGGTCAACATAGTATTGAAATTTAAATGCTTTTTATTATTGTTTAAAAAAAAATGTTGGGAGCAGGATAAAATGATAGGTTCCACCAAAGATTGGTAATCTTTGTCCCTTGGAACGGATTCAACCCACAGAGCCACTGGATCCAGCCTATAGATGTGGGGCTTCAGCAGCAGGGGGAAGCAGCAGTGGTGAAATGGTCCTAGTAGCTGCCTTCCTCTGACCCAAGCTGGGTCATTCTAGCCTGTGGTCTGAAGAGGTTGCTGAGCTCAGCTGTCTTACACTATTTGGTCAAATATGTGGAAAGGAGGGAGAAGTGAACAAATGAGAAATCAAGTCTGGCATTGCTCCTGGATTAGAGAGGTTAGGTGTAAACATACTGGGAGAGGAGAGTGCATATGTAAAGAATTGTGAAAAATATTAGCAGCTTTGTATAAATTTATATTTAATGTAATGGAGAAAATGGGAGTCAACAGAGGAAAACAAATTAGAGGTGATGTATACGGTCTGAATGAATATCTAGTAAGGTGGGTCTTTGCAGAATCAGTCTGTGCGTAGGTGAGGAGATAGCAAAGTGTCAGCAGAGGAGGTTGCAGTAAAGATGGGAAGTGATAGGCACAAACTGGAAGATAATTTTTGTTCTGTGGGAATAGGAAAAGCAGAGGGTTCTGCAAATTATTGGGAAAATGGTAAGTTGAGGTATAGATGTGTAAAGTTAATTGGTAGACTGGACATTATCACTGGTCCTAAATGGCAAAAGAAGATGGTGGTGTTACTGGTAACAAAGAAAAGAAAAAGAAGTGAGTTTGGGGGGAAAAAAAAACCAGTTTGGTTTGTACTAAAGGTAAATTAAGGATGAGATACCATTGAAGAGAATCAGCAGTCTCAGTGTTGGACAGAAGGGAGGCAGGTCAGGAGTTGCGAGTAATCAATGTAAGAATGGCAGTTTAAACCATGTGAGTAGCTAAGATAATTTTAGACATTTTATAGCCGGAGTGCAGAGACGAATGAAGGAAGATGAAGCTTGTAGGACTCCACCTTGGTGTGGGGAGAAGGAGAAGGATCTACTAAATGAGAGACTAAAGGAGCCATCAGCAAGGTAGGAGGTGAAACAATTGAAGATGGGAGTAGTGGAAGCCAAGGGAGGGCATGAGCTTAAGATTTAGTTTTGAAAGCAGCTGAAAAGTCAGGAAGGCTTAGCAAAAAGTAGAGGTTCAGTCAAAGCCATAAGGGTGTATGGTACCTTCTGGGTCATCAGGTCCAACCTGCATAAATGCAGGAACTTGTCAAAGGAATTTGACTTGGATTATCTTGATATGCTTCTCGGCCTCTTGAAGGCTCAGATCAACTTATTCAGCCACTGTGTTCCTGGTACTAGTCTGAAGACCGACATAAAATAGGTAGGGGCTATGGGGAATAAGCAACCTAATTTTCTGAGAAAATTGTGTTGTTTCCAGGCTGTACATGTCAGCATTCATGAACAGCTTGCACAAAGTATTTAGCATAAGGACCAATACAAATTTTAGGAGCACTGAGCATCTTCAATATAAAATTACCACTTTAAACCAAAAATAAACATACTTCTCTAGGTGTACTCCAGAACTCTATAAGTTTTGAGAGATGATTTAGCAGCTGTTCTTGTATTCACTAACTGCTTTGTCTTTGTAAATTAAAAAAAGCTTGAAAAGTATATAGTGGCATGCTTTTTTAATTGTAAAATGCTGTTTGGGCTAAGTAGAAATGTTTTGGGGAAATTTCCAACACAACTTATGTAAACACTTCATTTGAATAAAGAACTTCATTTTGAGTTTATAATTTTAACTAAAATTAGTTACATTTTGAAATGAAATACGTTGACTTCAGAACTACAAATTTTGATACATTTGTGAAGAGAGATATCTAAAATTAAACTTTGAGATTTTTTTTCTGCTAGATTTTTTTTTAAATTTCATTCCAACCTGTGACAAAAGGACATTCTGAAATGTCTTTGATTTCCATGGAATGGAAATTTGATTTTTTTATTTAAAAATTAAAACGAGTAATGATTTTTAGTTAAAATTAGATTGAAGTAATACACTTCAGTAATACTTAAGAGAACTGAAATACTTACTTGAACTGAAATATTACACCTGCAAATTTAAAAACGTTGAACTGAAGTTCAGTTTTCAACATTTTAAAATTTGCAGGTTTAATATTTTCATCTTTACCCAGAAAGGAAAAATGTCACATCATCCTTCCAACAAAAGACCTGCGTTGACACAACAACCAATGTTCTTGGTTTTTAAATTCTGTACAAATATGACAATAGGGCTGAAACTTAATTCTAAGGTCTGTTACTTTCAGATCTGCATGATTTTTGTTGGGGTGCTGCAAATAAAGTGAGAGCAGAATGTCATAGTTGAACCCTGCCCTACAGATCTGAGAGCAGAATTTTGTCCAAAATTATCAGGAATATGGGAAAGCCAAAGGAAATAGTTATCCCATATGTCTTGCAGAGCACTGTATAATTAACCACACTAATGAACATAGCAAACTATTCCACACTAAGGGCTAAATTATTGTATTTACTTGAATCCAAGGTGAGGTTTTTTCTCCAATCAACGTGGGAGAAAAAAAGTCTCATCTTACATTCAAGTACCCAGCCTGCCCCCACCTGTCTCTGGCCAGATGGCTTGTTTGGTGGGGGAGAGGAGGGTGTGTGGCCAGGGGGAAACCAGGGGCAGGCACAGGCACAGGGGGGAAAGGAGTAGGGGGCATATGGTGGTGGGGAAGGCAGCAAGAGGAAAGGCACAGGCACGGAGGAGGGGGTCTGGCTTCTCGCCTCCTGCTGCTGCTTTCCCTGCCACAGCATGGGGGGGGCAGAAGGGTGAATACCCTTCAATCATTAGATTCTATTAATGGAAAATTATAACTAATTTATACATTTATCTTGTATAGAATCTAATTATGGGGGGGCATCTTAAATTTGAAGTAGTCTTGGATTTGAGTAAATGCAGTATGCTTCTACTTGCACAGGTGTGCTAGGAAAGAAGGGTTAAAGAACCCACCTTCCTCAATCATCCACACAGGGACCAGCTACAGTTTAGCTTCATGTCTATCTGTAGCTCTTAACATGATGCGTATCACCATAGTGTCCCTGGACTGGAGTGTGGTAGGGTCAAACGCAACTGTAGTCTTAACTTCAGGGGCCCCATGGGGGCTGGTTCCGTGCGTGTCTCTAAGTGAAGGCTAAAATGGCAGCACTGAAGGGCCACATCTGTTGAACAGGTATAGTAAGGATCACACTTTACATTGCCCTATGGCCAAATTCATCCCTGTGTACAAGTCAGTGCAGGGATCGGGGCACCATTCCAGGTGGTATTCAAGATCTTTTTCCAGCTGGATGCTTGTGTGAAACTCCTATTAGTGCTAGTGGAAGCTAAACAAGGACACCAAGAAGGCATATATGTCTTGGTTTAAAAAGTTGGGTTAGCATCTGAATTTTTATGCAGGCAAAGCTTTGAAGCCTGTATTTTTGTTTCTATATGTTCCTGGGATAGACCTATAATATAAGCAAACAGCTGTGCTTTAGGGCTGTATTTCACTCTCTTAGTTTTGCAAGTATGTTGAGTTCTGAAAATAACGACCCGTGGAACCTTTCACAAAAAAACAGTGTGTCGTTTGTTGCATGTTAAGAAAGCTGAATTAATCAGTTGGGGTTTTTCCACCCATTAACATGGAATTTGAACAAGATATTGACTTTTCTTTAAAGCAAAACCAACAGTTTTGACAATTTCTCTATATTCTGTATGTTTAGTATTTTGTTGGCTTACATACATTAGGAAAGACAAATATTTTAACAGTTGAGTTGAGACTCTCACACACCCTGTATTAATGATTGCTCTTATGTGCCTGTGAGAAACTGCTTTATAAAATGAGTTATTGGATTTATGGAAGCTTTTAAAAAAAATATGCCACTAACATTTCATAATTTCTACTCAGAATGCTACGCCCCAGTCAGTTCAAGTGGAGCTGAAACTTCAGCGATATACAATAATAAAAAGACAGTAACCAATTTTGCAATAGAAAACAACAGCTCAGAGGCCAGATAACCCCATCCAGATAGCAGATCAACAGTACTTTGTGAAAATCCTTTCAAGAAGTGCATGAGTCTAAAATCCTGTTTAGTCTTTAATGTATTTTAATAATAGTTCTGAAAATAGAAATGAAGCCTGAAAAACAACAATGACCTTTATGTGCACCATCTCAGTACAACTGAGCAGGGATTTAAATTCCTTTTTTTTAATGTATGTTGTGAACTTGCTCTGCACCCTGACATTTAATTATCTAGTGCTTTGTATTTGCTAGGACCGGATTCAGTTTCAGGTCAGCATGTGCAATTCTTATTGCACGCATATAACATGAGAGCAGACTATGACGCTTAGAAATCCACTGCTATGTGCTACCTGGGAAGCAGGATTTGTGAGGAATAGTAAGATCATTTATTGGACCAACTTCATGATTGAAAGATGCAAGCTTTGGGGCACCAAATGCCTTTCCACAAGTCTGCTCTCCTGCTCCCTTCTCTTTGCTGTCTGCAACACTAGTAAAAGACTACATGAAATACAGCTTGTTGCAATAAAGCCTCTTCTTAGTGCACATATCAAGGACCCAAAGCAAAACTGGAACCCATCATGAAAAGATCATTTAAAAATGCTTTTGGCAAGAAAGGAACTTTTCATGAGCTGGCTCTTCCTGATCTGACAAACGAGAAATGGCTGCTGAAGGAGGCCAAAGAAGCTCTGTGGCAAGTAGGTTTGTTAGTTTAGATCAGGGAAACGATGCTATCTCTTGATTCCCTTTTGCGTTTCCTGTCACTT